GTGATCTAAACAATGAAACAATATTATTGTGCTTTAATATAATAATATTTTAGGATAACAATAATGAGCTCGTTTCTCCTCTAGAGGCAGGTCGTAAAGATAAGTACTTGTGGAGCACTTCACTCCTTCCAAGTGCTGCTCTGTTAACAATAGCATCTGTGATGCTGAAAGAAGATACAGAGAGCTCTTAACTTCTGTTTATTTCTGCAGTAGGCTGATCCTGACTGTGGGAAGACTTCTATGAAAGACTAGAAGAGGCTTCATATGAGCCTTTTCCCCACTCAAGATAATGGTTTCTTTCTTAACAGGTTTTCAAAGGAGGGGAGAAGGAACATATTCTATGGTCAAAATAGAGTGTTCTGGGGAAAATAAAGGTGTTTCAGATGAGCACATCTTATGGATATGACTCTCCTGCTGGAAATTCAGTAGCAATACATAAACAGGACATTATCCATTGCAAATCCAAAATGCAAGTAGTGCATCATCCTGTAGGACCTTAACTTTGCACTCTTTAGTGATCATGAGGAGTTGTGGATAGTGTTTTGTATTCTTGTCTCTGAGTCACTTGGTCTGTCCTCCTCAACAGCAGAGAGCAGAGGGAGTTGGCAGGTTTTTTTGGATCATCCAGAATGTAAATCAGGGAGAAGGCATCACTGTTCTTTTCCTGGAGTAAAGGAAAAGATCATCTTGTGCAGCAGAAGCAGAGAACAGGAGCTAGCAGATGGGCTCTCGCCTGCCATTAGATATCACTGCTACTTCACAAGACAAGAAAGACACTTGGAGGCTCATCAGTATTTCCACACCACCCACCCACTCCTCATCATAAACCCTGCGTGCTCCCAGCTCTGGTTATCTTAAGTGCTCAGTTTGTCCTCAGTGAAAAGGTAGAAAGGGATCCTTCCCAAAGGAAGAGGATTGTGTAGGACATCAACCCTATCTAATGTGTCACAGATCTGTTTCAAGTAATTAGTGAAGGCTTTTCTCTCAGCTGATGCTGCTGTGTAACCTGCTGTTCCTTCCTTTGTAGCCCTTGAAGAGCTGTCTCAGTGCTTGTAGGCTGCAGGATCTAAGATGGACTTGTGGTATCTATAGCATTTCCCAGGAAGTTCAGCTTTGATCTTCAACTGCTTGGCTTTTCACATGAAGTCGAAAAGGCTGTTTTCTTTTCCCCTTTTGGGTATATTTCATTGTGTATATGATCCCTCTTTACTGACACCTCAAAGTAGCTGGATGTCTGGGGGAGTGTAAGTACAAAAATGAGTGAGAACATAGGGATATAGGTGCTTTGACTTCTGATTGTATTTCTGAGAGAGCTTTAAACATGCTCATTTTGCACCTACAGTCACCATAGCAGAGCAGCGATCCTTGCCCAAAACAGCGTGGTAGGGGTGACACTACTGGAACAAGAATGGGAGAGAGATTGGAAGGTCAGGGAGCTCAGCTCCCAGCTCTGGTCCACGTCACTGATGCCTATATCCTTCCTAATAAATGTCCAGTGTGTCTTTGAGGCCATCTCTCAGTGTTGGTGTCTTTCCAGCTTTCCCAGCAGCCTGTCCCTCGGTTTCCCTAGTCTTACCATCATGAAACTTTTTTCTGTAATATCTAATGTTTTCCCTGCAGTATGAACCCGCTGCTCTTTGTTTTATCCTCTTCACATGTGGTGAAAAGATTCTCCCCTTCCTCTTGGAAATGTAGAAATTGCATGTATTTATTCATATCTTGGTTTCTTTTCATTAACCTCCCTGTTTCTGGTTTTCATGCTGTCTATTCATCAGCCTTTTTTATGTCCCTCCCTTCATTTTCCTTTGTCTCTTGAAAAATAAAATCCTCTTTTCAACAAAGACTAAAACCAACTGGAGGAAAGAAAACCCTGAATGTAAGATGAGTTTTGCAAACCCTCACACTGCATCTCAGCCCTTTGTCTGTCTCCTCTGTTTAGACAGCAAGCTCTTCAGAGGAGGGGCTCTTTTCCTGTGTTTGTACAAGTGCTTAGCAGACTGAGGCCCTGATATAGCCGGGTTCCTTAGGGGCTATCGTAATGTACAATAATAATGAACCATATGTTGGTTTAGCCAGGAAAATACTAAAGCAACAGGCCAGTAGGCAGTTTTTTCCCTTAATGGACCAGGTATTGCTTAGACAATGCAGACCATTTCCCCTTCTATCCCCCTAATAATACACTTCACTTCTAGAGGAAGTAGTCCTAGGGATGATGACGTATTTTAAAGTTTGTGGGCCTTATTGTTAGTCTAATTATATTGTAGACATTTAGAAGTATGTTACTGAAGTGTTTTACAAAGCAGGCATTCAAGAATTACCTGTGCTTTAACTCTTGTGGGGCAGCAGTTGTGAGGTGGTGTTAGTGTGGGGCCAGCCCTGACTTCATGCATGGCCCAAGTGGTGAAGTGCATTGCCTTGGGCTCAGCATCCTGCCAAGCTATTTGTTTTATTGGTTTTTTGATTGCCTTTGTTTTGGCTCACTGGCAGAGCAAGTTTGTGTCAGCCTGGAGAGTGCTTCTCAGGTGTTACCCTAATAGCTAAACAGTTATTGGCCCATTTCATATAGGGACCAGCCTTGAAGTTATCTGTTTGTTTGGTAGAGGGATCTGGTAGGTGTCAGCAGCTGTGATAATTTTGAAGGTAGCTGGAAACTCCAAATCTTTATTTATTTAATTTGTTTTAATTTCACTCTTACCACTTTTGTCTTATCATCGAAATATTTTGAGCAAAGTTTTAATTGTGTAAAAACACTTGGAAATGTTGACACCAAGATGAAGCACTTTGACTTTTTTTTTTTGAGAAGTAACTTCGAATTTTAATTTCATAAATGCTTTTCAAAATGTCCTGAATTAAAGCAAAAGGGATAAAAGGCCGTGTTTTAAAAATATTGAAAAGACACTAAGATGCCCCTGCTTTCAGCCAGAAGCTTTGTGGGACCCTTGGAGGTTCTCACAAGGTCTGGGTGAGCCTGGCAAGGGGATGATCAATACTGGTGTGGTCACCATGGCTGCCCTGTCCTGGTCTGGTTCTGCTGGGTGACAGTATAAATCTGCTGGAGCTGTCTAAGGCTGCACCTCTCTGTTGTCAGAGCTCAGTTCAGCAGGAATCATTGGAACAGGGGGAGGGAAATGGAGGGCTTGCTGCTTGGTAAATCCTCCCACTTCCCTCCTCCCGGTGGAGACATTTGTGATAATCATGGAGAATGCTACCACTTCAGCCTGCAATAATAACCACCAAGCAGCTCTCGCACTAGTAATTGCTTTACTGCCCAGGGGAGAGAGAGGACTGTTTTCCTTTTATCATTGTCTTTGGCATTTGGTTCAGTTTTTCTTTCTTCTGTCAGTTAAATATTCCTACATATCATCATCTTCATTTCCCTCACCAAGTAACACATGGGGTTATTTTTAGGTGGTAGAAGGGACGTGCAAGGCACCATGAGTCCTGAGATGCTGGGGTTGATATTTATGGGTAAATTCAAACTGAGCATGACTGCATGGTCCTGTAAAGTGTATCTGCTGGAATCAAGAGAAATATTTTAGTGGATTTATTGTTGCCTTTAATATGTTTTTTTATATGTTCTTGTCAGAAACTGAATTAAAAAAAAGGTGCTGCAGTTCAGTGTTAGCCTGTAAAAACATAAAAATCTGGCAGAGAAAGACCTGTCATCATAACTTTCATCATGTTGCAAAGCCTTAACTTTGCCACATCTGCTCATTACATGAGACAGGCGAGAATTCGGAGCAGCTGAGGTCTGAGAAATTCTGTTGCAGAAGGTAACAACTGATTAAAAGGTCAGGAGATAGCTTCAGCAATTTTCCTATGGTCTTTGTGGTTCATGAATTTCATTAAGTGAGATACTGGTAGGCTGCATTGCTGCATGTGTTTCGATACAGATTAGGCTGGGGAATGAATTACAGTGAGGTGTAAAATAAGTGAAATGTAAGCTGTGCAGCAAATGTACTTTTAAAAATGGTTGGTGTGTTTTGTACAATAGAAGGGGAAAAAAACCCAAACTACCATGGCCATTTTGGGAGCACAGTGAGTGAGGTCAAGCATGGAGTTTTAAAGTTAATGGTGCTGTGGCGATTTATCTTAGCCAATGAACTTGCCTATGGGCTCTTACTCTGCAACTTAGTCGATAAATGTGATTGTAGTTATTATGTTTACGAGTAGCTATGGATTTTCAGTCTGAATGATCTTTGCTTTTGCTTTTACCATTATTCTCTTTCCATCTGAAATATAGTCTTTCTGTGAGAGCACTGTTTGGTTGCATCCTTTCTCTGCTGTAAGCTACCTCTGAATGCAGTGCAGCTCCTGTGGGCTGTGGGGCAAGCAAAGGGCTGCCTCCCTCTCATCCTCTACCTGAGCAGCCTTTACTGTTACTGATGGCTTATAAATTCTCTGCAACAATTTTGAGATTGAAAGAATAATTTTAGTTTGGTGTGTAGATCCTTCTTTTTTTTTGGGGGGGGGGGGGGGGGAGATATTTTAAGCAAATGAGGAAAAAAGTAACTAACATAACCCAAGGAATCTAGAAACAGGAAGTTAAAAAAAATAAGTCTTGAACATTTACTATAGTATATACTATAGATAGTTACCATAGTAAAGATCAGAAAACAAGGTGCTACTTATATTTCCATCTTGTCAGATCATTTCAGAGGCTTCATACCTTGTGCATAGAGAAAAAGGCTTTCTCCAAGGCAGTTTGCTAGCTGGTTTTTAAGGCCTTTGGCCTTTCTGGGTCACCTGGACAAGTAACTTCACAGCTGGATGATGCCAAGGCTACGTATAGTTCCCCTGTAGCTCTTGGGTTTTAAATGCCGGTGTACATAGTCCGGTGTTGCAGTTGCAATATTCTCTAATAGATAACATTTTAAAATGTGCAAAGATACATTTGGTATAAATATAGCTCACAGCATGAGGCACTGAATAAAACATTTCTCTTCACTCATCGGGGAGGATCATGCATAACTTACGCTTGGATCTGCTTCATCATTCAGGCGTTGGAGAGTCACCCCTAATTTGTGAAAACATATGGCTTATTCCACCCTTCCACACTGAGGATTCGTTCGAAGCATGCTTGCCTGCAGTCCTGTGCTCACCATCTGGATCAGCCTTCCGCAAGTCAAGGTAATCGGGAGTTGCGGTAAAGGGGAGCAGGAACGTGCATTCCTCCCCTCTGCTAAGGTCAGAGGACATCTTTTCTAACTCCTGGCTTCGTTACAGCCCCATGGACCGAATCTCAGAAAAAAGTGTCATGCACCTGGCAAATAGCCAGATACCGACACCACCCCCCCATGTTTTAGCCAATAATTATAAACTATAGAATCATTTAACTTTTTTAGGCTACATCTTGATTAACTACCTAGCAACAGTGGGAGAAGTTGCTGATGATCCAGTAAGGAAATATTTTGTATGTCTCAGACCTGTTGTCCATTTTGAACCATAGATCATAACTTCCATCGACCCAGAGGTTTGGGCTCCCGTTGTTCATGCTCACATTTGATGGAATAGGTAAATCATGGACTACACAAACTACAGTTTGTCAGGAGTCTTCCACAAGCCATGCATTACTAAAGCAGGAATGAAATATTTTTACCAGTTTGTCAATCTCAGTTGCTCAACAAGAGACAAATGGTTATCTACATGGAGCACCATTTGAATTCCTATTATTTACTGTGGTTGCTCAGTCAAGTCACTGACAAATTAGCAACCCTGTTTGTGTTCTGGTTCATTGTTTTGACTGTTGTGATTAAGCAATGACTTTTTACTCTGTTTTGGCTCAGAAAAGCAGTGTGGGGCTTGTTGAGGCCTTACTACTTGCTCTAATGCTGGCTCCACAGTACTCTCCCCTGGAGGGAGCCTCAGCACATGGTCAGAGTTGAACAGGCTGAACTCCCCAGCGCTTGCCTAATGCAACCTGCAGAGACATACAATAGGCATCAGCATCGCAAACCACTGAGGTGGTAGCTGCGTCTCACTTTTATTGTAGTCCTTCAGCTACCCCTTCTTGATTTTTGTACAAAGAAGGTGAACTAGTACCTCATTCTGGGTTTGAATACGGAGTCTGAACTGTTTAGTTTTGCTCTGAGGCCCTCTGTAATACCAGTGTTACTTCATCACTATTGTGGACCAGATCGTAACCTTCTGGTATATTCCCAGAGAAGGAAAAACAATACTGGTTTAAGGCATCCTTATGCTATTGAAACCGGTTGCATCCTGGGGTTAGTAGCAATGGTAATAGTCAAAACCTATTTTTTTAGAAGGCATGTTTGCAGCTTTATTCTACACTGTTGTACTGGTACAGAGCCCCTGTGAAGCAATCTGTTTCTTTTTGATAACTATAACTTCATCCTGTTTCTGAAACAAGACTTCATTTAAGTTACTCCTGGATTAGTTCATAGGTACAGAGCTTCTGTCCATCCAAATAGAAAACTGTAAAGCTTCCTTATGGTACTGTAAGCCCCTAACAGTCCATTTACTGGCTGTGTGTAAAGCACAGAGACAACAACCTGCTTTCTCTGCCTAGCTTCTCCTAGGTGTATGCTTTTATCTTCTTGAATTACCAGCACCATTTTCCACCTACTGCTCAGGCAGCAGAACAGTGTTCATTCAAACTCTCCGCATATAAATTAAACTGGAGTTTGACTATTTCCTGTGAATCTGGCCAAAACAGGTATTTAAGCAGGTAATGGCATATGGGAATAAACAGGGGTTGGGGTTGGTAAGTGATGCTTTCCAGATGGATGAATTTCTGTTCTGTATTTTGGAAAGAGTTCCCTGTGGCCATGTTCTTGTTAAATGATTTGTCAAGATCTATCAAACACAGAGAAGTGGCCACCTTAACCCTAAGAGTTGCTTTGGGGTGATCCTTCTGGTTCCTTCTTTGCCACAGCTAAAGGAAGCCATGCTTGTGCGAAGGCAAGCTTGTCCCTCTCACCTTGAAGGCCACTGCTGTGTTTTCTTTAAAGACATCCCTGTGTGTTTTCTGGACATGTCTTTTATTACTGCTAGCTTGGTTTGACTCAGGTTTCCCTCTTTCAGGGCTGGCTTTCGGGTCCTCCTGGTTTTGAGAACACTGAACATATATGAAGTAATGTATTACTTGATTCAAAGTTGTGAAGGGTATAAAAATATTCTGCACTGGCAATGCCTCTGAACAGCTTTCACAATTTCCTCTCCTCACCACCCCCACATATACTTTCTCTTCGGTGCGTTTCTGCAGTGATACTGTGCAGGGCCCTGCGTTGGCTGCAGTCAGCTGTGTCCTCCATCACCCAGCTACTCCTTCACACCGCTGTGTCCCCCAGGGAATCACCCATCGCAGTCTGAGCTACAGGGTGAGAGAGAGGCAAGTGCAATTATTTGGTGCCTGAGGACAGTGAGATCTTTTACTGCTCTGGGGCTGCTTCATAGTACATGAGCATGATTTCAGCCTGGTATCCCAGACTGAATTTATTTAAGGGTGTATATATTAAGATTATGCCTGTCCTGATCTACCCTCTTTATTTCCTTCTCTCTTAATCATAGTGTTCAAAATAATTAAAACAGATTAAAATGCAAACCGGCACCATAATCAAGCAGAATGTAATAGCTGGTTATCATGAAATAACATCGAAATAAAAGATAAATAATTTATGACTAAGTCCCTCATCAACTTTAGATGGCCATAAACCAACACTAACTAGCTACCTCCCAAACCTCGAGAACATGTGTAGCCACGTTACCTGAGCCTGGCTCTTGTCTCTAGGCCCTGATGGTGTTTCAAATTTAAAGATGCTCCATATGCTTTTCTTAGACAATCTTATAGCCTATAATTTTTATGCGCGTAGTTTCAAATTTTAAATTAACTGCATTTATATGGGACTGAAGATTTATAGATACGCTGAAAATGTTCAGTATTTTACAAATACAAGTTTTTATTAATGAACCTTCACAAGCCACATGTGTGTCTGGCTAATCGTACATTTGGTTTACAGAGAGATATATCAGGGGACAACAAGGAACAGGAGCTCATGCAAGGTAGGAAGGAAACCTGTGGTTACCAAACTAGCAGATTCTGTATTATTGGTATTTCTGAAAGGCTTTGACACCAGTGTTTTCAGTACTTGCAGAATACCTGCAAGAGAGGTAGGTCAGAGCAATTTAAAGGTCTTGTATTTTTTTTTTTTTACTTTCAAGTTTAACCAAGCTATAAATAAGCATCTGTACCTCAAACATAAAAATGAGACTGAATACTTTTGATGAGCCTAATGAATATTGTCTCTAAAATGGGATGTGACTATGTTCATAGATGTAAATGCAATGGGTTGAATAGCCTGAAAATACTTCAGGAATGCTTGAGGAGCTTCTTTCTGTTCATATTACCATTTTTTTTTTTGCCATATGGATGGGTATAAAGGGAGATTGATTGGAGGAGCTGTTATTGTAATGTACCCATTAAGACAGTTCCTTTGTTTCAGTGTGTAGATTGCATTTTCAACATGATGTGAAGCTAGTTTAAACAAAATGAGATGTATAGAAGCTTTATGTTCTCCTTTCTCACCAGCTTCTGCTCAGGCCCATGTAATTTTCAGGAAAAGGTTAGTAGCTTATAGGGATTATAGCATATTGGAGAAAAAAAATTATGTCTTCCCCAATGTTTTAAATGGAACCAGAAACATCTGATGAAAATGTCTTTTAGTGAGAAGGGTGAGGAGATAGTAATTTGATTAGTGTACATGCATTCATTTTAGAAATATTCTTGAGCTTAAATGTTCTATCAGTGTGTAAAGAATTCAATTCACTTTATACTATGCAAAATAAATGTTCTTCAACCTAGATTTTAAACCTTTTGTTGGGGTTTGCCTGTCAACAGTATGCCATGCTGTTGTGGGACACGTGCAGAAAGCCCACACCAGCATACACAGCTTCAGGGTTGCTTTAGCAGTGATCTGCAAGGGATGACTGTGATGCTCGTCTTCCCTACCCTGATGGCCTTTGTCAGCTGTAAGGAAAGGACATTCACTTCCTGAAACACATTTGGTGAAGGAAGGTTTTATGAATTGGCTAAGGCAGTCAATCGGATTCAGTTTTAAGGGTGATGTCCTGTACAAAACAATATTCTGGACTTCCAGTTAAAATGGGGGAAGTTGGGTTTATTTTTTCCCCACACTGGATATCTCATTTGCTTCAATTTGCATGCTATTTAAATTTTTAAAGTTTAGTGTTTGTGATCTGTTTGCTTTTCCGCTCCAGCTCATTTGCAAGCCGATGAGGATGTTGCATTCTAAATTTGGGAACAGTTTGATTTTGATACAAAAAGTAGATCGATTGCAATTCCCAAGATGAAAGCATGGTTACTAATTCTATTGGATATCTCAGAGCAGTTTCTTGCCAGTGAAAGGACTGTATCTTTTCTGCCACAATGAATTCCATACATTTTAGTGTGCACATCTGTAATTTCTTTTTGCTTTATTTTTTAAATTATACCTCTTCTAAAGTCTTTTGAAGACACTGATTGTGTTGGTGCACACCAACCAGTGCTAGATTTCTTGGCAGCAAGATGTTATTCATGCTATGTATATAAGCTCCACATTGTCTCTAAAGACAAGATAGGTATTTGTCTTGAGATTTCAGCTGAGAGCTGGTTTTGGAGCCAACTTAGCTTTTAAAAGCTAGGCACATTTTAAAAAAATATAATTACTATTTAGAATAAATGGTAGCATTAATTGCAGTCAATTCTCTATAAAAAGAATAGGTTATCACTTAATTGCATTTAAATTTGTAATACAAAAATGTATCTTGATTAAAGAAAAATAGATCAGGATAATTCTTTTCTTTGGTGATGAGTGAAATTTATACAGAAAAATCACATTATCCTGTGGAGCTGTCATTGGCTTCTTCCTGTAGTTGGTTCTCAGTCTTCAAATAGATATTCAAACACCCGACTGTCATTTAAGCTTTGGATATTTTCCCGTCTCAGACAATAATTCTCTGCACCCAAAGTTGAAAGCTTTCCAGCTTTATGCAATCTCTGTTCTGTGGGGGTGCAGGTAGGAAGCAACTGTATAAATTGGCATGTATATTTCTTCATGGTATAATTTGCAATCAAGTGGAAATTTCAGTTTTGGTTTGTTTTTATGTTTTTCTTTATGACTGATTCAAACCCTTGCTTAGAAAACCCAAGTGTTAATCCAGGAGGGGGCAGGAAGGAAAGGACATGTGTCCCAAAGCCCTGCTAGGGAATGAAAGGTGCTCAACTGAATTATTTTCTGAAAGATTGAAACCTGGTGTGTTGTGTAAAGTCTAATTTTAGACCACATTATGCTGCAATATGGTATCAGATTCAAAGAGCAGCAGGTGTCAGAGAATCTGCTAGCTGACACTCCATGTTACAGCAGAAAAGCTTTATTAAATTCATTTTCCAAGCTGCAAATAGGACTCTGACATGGTGTGAAATTCAGCTAAACTGAACTTCTTCAGCCCCTGCTCTCCCATGTCATGGATTTTCTGTGATCGCCCACTGTGATCTGGCTAGCCCAAGTTTGGAAATGCCGGCTATTAGCTTTAGCAGGAAAATTCTTTGCTTTCAAGCACTGTGTGCTTCCCACCCGCAACCTAATGAATCCTCAAGGGGGTCTGGAATGAGACAAAACCCAATCCTGAGCCAAGTGAGAACAGGAAAATCTATTTCATGCCTTTCCCCCAGGAGATGGGTCTAATTCACTGACAAATATTTTGTAATGGGTTTGGGGTTATCTGGATGAAACAGCTATTTTTATTTTGAATATTTGAAATACAGCTACACCATAAATTCCTGTGTATGAGATGCTTTCCTGAAAATTTCAAAGGGTCGTCAGGGTAGAGTTATAAATTGTGCCAACACAACTTATAATGGCAAGGCATTTTTAATGCATGCTTTTTATATGAGTCCGTGAATGAGCAAACCCACGCTGGCATGAGGAAGGACTTCGCTCCAGCTCCACTGCAATGGGCTTTGTGCTGCATGGATCCCGATCTCAATGGAGATGTATGCATTAACTCCATGTCTGTGCTTTCCAGCAGCAGGAGCTCAGTATCGCACCTCTGCAGTGCTTGCCCTCCAGTTCTCTGCTGCTTGAGCTGGCTGCAAAGCAGTGGCTTAGCGGCACATGGGCTAACAAAGTCTTTCAGAGACAGACAGATAAGAGGGAGGAAATGTCTGCAGCACTGCTAATTTTGCCTGTGTAGTGCCCTGATTTTACCTGTAGCTGTTGTGTAAGGGGAATTCAGTAGCCATAGCAATAGGGATAGTGTTATGAGAGGACTTGACATTCATTTTAGGCTGCTCTGACTGGGTTTAAACATTCCTGGAAGTGTTGGGAAGCAACAGAGAAGATTAGAAAAGGATTATCAAGGCTCTTGGAAGCCTGTGGAATTAATGTAGAGAGCTCCCCTTGGACAAAACAGTGTCAGGTAAAGACAGTGTTTTATACAGGTCAGATGTGATCAGCTGGGCATTGCTGGCAGTCCCAGGGAGTAACAGAATGGAATGTTCAGAGTGTGAGCTAAAGCCCTTTTTTCCTCTTTTTTTGGGGTGGTGGGGGGTTGGGAGGATTTTTCCCTGCCTCTTTTTTTGGAGATAATTCCACATCTGATCTTATAAAAAGTGAAGATATAACATGCACAGGACTATTTTCTCGGGTTGCTTATAATTGACAGGCTTTGTGTTGTATTTCAGGTCCTTGCTGGGAGCCTGGATTGCCTTTAGCCATTCTGCTTTGCTCAGAAAGGTCCTTGGCAAAGGGAAGGGTATAAACATAAAAATCTTCAGGGAAGAACTGGGAGATGTGGGGTTTGCATATAGACCCCTTCACAGGTTGAATGCCTGATGGCTTCTGTGAGTTGTGCAACATCCCATTTTGGGGCAATGCAAGGTGCTGCTTTTTGTCATCTATCTCATTCAAATTCTCACCCAATAGCCTGGCAATGCATGTTGTACACTCACTGGCTTTGGTTGCCAAAACAACAGCAAACCCATAATTTTGGTTATGTTTTCAAGTACAGTAGTTGTACTGTGACAAGCACTCCTAGATCAAATACGTGGGAAGTGTGGCTAAGCAATGACCTGATCCAGGGCTGGAAGATCAGCCCATTGGCAATCAGATGGACTGGGACACCTAAAAAGAGTTTTTGGCTTTGTAAGCAGTGCAGGGATGGGAGCTGAGCTGTGTGGAGTTAATCTGAAATGTGGAAGTAGGGCAAAATGGCCTTGTCAGTTTGTGGGCAATCGCAAGTAAGTTTGTAATAGGCAGTGCAAACCATTCACAAGATTTCGAAGCTAGATTCAGTGTAACTGTGTTGGTTTGTATGAATCCATATTGAATTTTTTTCTTTAAATAAACCTGGAATTCTAGCCAATCCTCAACTGAGGCTTTAAATATAAAATTAAGAACAATTTTGTTGGGTTCTGTGAGAACCCTTCAAATTGTTTTCAGTATCTCCACTGGCTTCCCACTACATGAAATGCATTTGGGTACTTCAAAGAAGTAGTAGCCGAAAATGCCAAGCACCTACCATTTGATGGCCATTCTTAGAAAGGGTGTCTAAAACACTGATAGCAACAGCTGTATTTTATTCTAAGAGGTAAAACTGCTTGTATTTGGGATAGGAGTTTTTATTTTGTACATAATTTTTTACAAGGAAACAAGACTTCACCCTGGGCACTGCATCAGCTCTTTGGAGAAGGCAGGAGAGCTCTAATTCAATTTCGGGCACTGCTGTTCTTGTGCAGAAACCATCAATATCATCATAATGTGTTTTCAGACCATATTATGTGCAGGAAATCTGTGACTTCATCTGAAAGGTGACCTGTAAAGGAAACTTTAAAATTGGCTTCTACCACTCCTTTTTGTTTTGTTTTTCCCTTTGGGTTTTAAAAATCTTGTACAAAGGTCTGGGAAGTTTTGAATATTCCCAGCTTTCTGCTTGTGGATTTCTTCGTTATTATATTTAAAAATAGTGGGAATGCAAAGCCAGCTTGTGCTGCTCTCCCCTACCCCTTTTTTCCCTGGACAACTCCTTGGGGATTTCAAGGACAGGAAAGTGAAACATGGCTTGGAGAGTTGGAGGTATTTAGAAGAGCTTTCTTCTAAGTGCTTGGACTCAACAAGTGTTAGTGCAACAAGCAGAATGTTAGACCTGAACCAGCCTGACTTGGCATTTCTTCTTTCTAGTGCAACTTTAACAACTTTTGTCTTCTTCTGTAGTCATAATTACATTAGTTTTCATGGGGATTTTTTAGGATAGAGAGCTTATTAACTTTTAAATGCTAAAATATAATATTTCCCAACTTTTTTTTTTTGGTTTCATCTCAAATCAGTTTGTACATCACAGATAAGAGGAAAAATGAATTTAACAAATTATGAAGAGAAGATTCCAGAAGCTCTAGGTTAGGAGCAAAAGTGAAATGTGAGCAGCAACTCCACAGCCTTTGGTACAAATATAAAGCTACATGACTTCATAAGCTGTGGTCCCGGTGCTATGCAGGATTCAGTAGCTGGTCAGCCATACTGAAAAGGAAACCAGTGCTCTGCAGCTGATCTAGTTAAGGAAAGTTGGATGATGGTGTGCAGCAGGAGTTTCACACTTGAAATCAGATGTGAGTGGTGGTTTAGGATGCAAACATATGCAGAAGAGAGTAAAACCCATTCATTATGCCCATGGTACTTCACAGCAGCAAGGTGATGGGGGAGCTGCCGATCTGACTTGCTGCTTGTTTTGGGATCAGGTGAATAGTTTGTGTGCAGAAGACTTGCTGGTCTCAATCTCCTGTTGTGTTTGAGGTGCCTTCTGAAAAGGTGTTGGCGGGGAGATGTGTGTGAACAAAATTGCTCATCTGGCTCCAAGCTTGCTTTCTGCCTTGGGGGACTTAGAGGAAAATGATGTCTAGGAGCAGACTGACATGCAAAAGCCCATGGGTCATACCTTGTGTTCCCTCTGTGTTATTTTGTCTGCTTAGTTGGGACACTAACATGATGAATTTTAATTGAAAAAGAAAAATCTTTTGGTGGAAGCATATTCTCAGATGGGGGAAGTATAAATTACAGAATAATTCATGGACTAGTTGCAACTCCTGGGAATTCAGCTGGTCTAAATAATGTATGTTTATACATATAAACTGTGTGTGTCCCTGCATATTTTAAATGTTTGATTGTTTCACATTAAGAAAAAAGTGAATAAGTGCTGATTGTAGAATACTGTAACACTTGCCATTTTGGTTTTAATTTCTCACTGTTACTATGCATCTCACACAAATTTTTATCTGGTTTTCATACCTGCAATTTATTGCTGGCCTAAACCTATAGGCATCAGGCAGCATCTATTTAAAGCCTGAAGAGCATCAGTAGAGACAGAGCAGCCATCATCCCACAGCTAATTAGGGATAAGAAGCGGTGGAGGACGCAGTGCTGCCTCCTCCTCTGCCTGCCTATCTGCTGGGCTTGCTCTATTGCACAGATAGAGCTGCTTGTACCTCATGGAGAATAAAATTGCATGATAGATTTTCAGTGCCTGGTGCTCCGGCTGTGCTGGTGACAGGGCAGTCCCAGCGCTCCACAGAGCCAGAGCACAGAGAGGCTGCAGGGCTGCTGCTGGCAGCTGGGGCACATCTCCAGCTTGTGCAGACCTTAGCCTCCTGAATCTGCCTTTTTGTAAGTAAAGGAAGTTTCTCTCAGCTAGATCAGAAAATAGTGTGTTGTGTTTTGCGGTGCGTGTGCACATGCATGCAAGTGTCATAATAATCACCAGCTTCTTTAAACTCAGGGTGGGGAGGAGTTGAATGGACAGTGAATATTTGGATGCGTAACTGGGCTTCTGCATGGTGGTAATCCAGTCACTCAGATGCCCAGGCTGCTAATGGTTTGCTTCTGTGGGTGTGTTTTAGACTCAGGCTGTCATCGACTCTGAAGGAGACCCTGAAGATGAAAGAGGATTGCAGGGTCCAGCCGTGTCAGAGGCTGCTGCTGTGTGTAAGTATTCAGCCTTGTCTGTCAGTGTTACCTGGCCGTGGCTGTGCACATCATTGTCCTGATTAAGGAGGACGGCATGTTCTTCTATAGCTACACCTACATGTGTGGATCTGATAGTGTATCCAAGTAGAATATGCCAGTGAATATATGAAAAATGATGAGTTTATTAGAAAGTCTGAAATAGGGATGAAATGAGAGGATATCTGCAATTCTTGATGGATACTTGCAGGTTATGTGTGCTCTCTGAGAAGGCCTGAATAAAACAATGATAAATGATAAGCAGCTGGAAGGGATCTCCCTCATGCAGGCAACCTGCACAGCTCACTGCTCTGGGCTGCCAAATATAAACAGAGAAAGTTGCACCAGAGTTGAAATGCAGGGGCAAAGCACATCCACACATGTTCAGGCTGCTTTTGAAAGATCAGGAATGAGCCTTCCTGCAGTGGTTTTGCTTGGCCAGTGCTACGTGGAATCCCAAGTTGTTGCACAGGTGGAAACCAAAATACATTTGTAGTGCAAAACAGTGGGGCAACATGCGGGGAGCAGGGAGAAAGCTTTCTGGAGTAATTCAGGTTCACTGTTTTGTAGCAGTTTTGTTGAAGGGGTCATGGTACGAAATTAGGTTAATTCACTTCCATGGCAGGATAGCATCTTGTCCCATCTATGAGGACTGTGTGAAAATGGATCCTGGTGAGACCCTATCAGCAAGGCATTGGCAGGTGAAGGTTGAGTTGGTGCTAGAGATCAGCTTGCACACCATGGGCAAAGTACAGCAAAGGAAGAGTGAAACAAACACTTGGGGGGGGGGGGGGGGGGGAGAGGACTTGTTTCTCTGTGATGAAACACTGGTTTTGGGTCATTTCAGACTTCAGCACACAGGGTAAAGGTGACATGAGGCTAACAAGTATGTCCTGGGCACTGAGGTGGTGAAGTGATACGGCTGGTTTAAGGGCAGCCGTGGAGATGGGCAGCAGCCCTAAGGCAAGGCAAGGCATGCAAACTGCAGCGAGACTGTACCTGTGAGCTCAGTGCTCAGTGCGTGCAGGTCACTGAGCATCCCTGCAGAGTGACTGGGTTTGGTCATTACTGATTTGAGCTGGATTCAGAGCAACAGCCTAGAGGCAAAAGCTGTGATTTTTGTGGGGCATGATGGCATATTTAAATGCAGAATGCCTTCACCTTAGGGTGGCATACTATCAATAGCTGCCTATTAAATAGCCTTGTATTTTAAACAAGATATTGCTGGTAACCAACATTCACTATTAAGTGTAAACAAGTCCCAGAAGTGTTGCCAGCTCTGTGGGTTTTCTCAATTCTGCATAGCTATTAAAGCTCCTTATTTGCAATCCTGGCTAGCTGTGGTTTAGAGTTATATTTCTGTCGCCTCTCCTGCTCCTCGCAGGTGCAGAGTCGCTTCCCAGTGAGACAGGTTTACCACAGCACTTCTTGTATTGGCTTACCTGGTACCAGCTCTGCCAAGGCCCCATGAGGTCCCAGTTTGAGTGTTGGCTGTGGCTGCATGCAGATTGCACACAGAGTTCAACTACCAGATGGGGGACACTAAATCTGCTTTGTCTAGCCAAGAGCTGGCAGACAGAGCACCACTGCTGCTGTCAGCCAGAGAAATACTGAAAATTGCTCAATCAACATAATTCATGAAGCTCTGTGGCAGGTCTGCAGCTCCACAGGCCGCTGTGGGAGTGCCAGGTCAGGCACAGAGATGTGCTAACCCATGACCATGATCATCGATGTGAAGAACACACGTAGCCACTGCCCAGTGCGATGGTTCTTGCAGAGGTGCTTTCAAGGGTAAAATGCTGGGAACAACACTGCTGCCCAATAATTCCTGCTCTGTTTGCAGAGTGGGGTCATGGCTAAGAGCTCTGTCCCTGATCCCTTTTATGATGCTGCCTTAAAGCACTCTGAAGACCAGGGAGTTACTTGTTTGCCCCTGCCTACCATCCCTGCTTGTCATAAACTACAGACTCAAGGTGAGGGGAAAATAGCAAACAAGTTTAAATCTTTATGGGCAGAGCTGGGCAAATACTCTGACAAGTCTTCTCAATCATTCTTTCAAGCAGAGAGGTTTAATCTGTGGGATGGTACTTCCAGCCCTTATTTGCTTTCTGTGCTCTAGGGCAGTGGAGTTTCTACTGAGCTCACCTTGAGCAAATGAGTTTTCAAAGGTCCTGGCTAAAGTGATAAGTGCTGCAAGCTGTGGAAATGTGCTGCTTTGGGGTGTGCACTCGTATGGTATGTTTGGGTGTCCAGCTGAAACACCCTCTTTGTTTGGTCAGAAAGTGGAAAGAAAGGCTGACAGTGAAGAGCAAGCAGATGGTGTGTGATGAACAGCTCACTAGTTTCATGATCAGAG